CAATAGATGGTGCATATCAATCAGTAACATTACTACCACAATTACTCTACAGCTTCGTCTTGAGACAGTCAAGGAAGGAAGGGCTTCACAGGAGGGACCTAAAAAATCAAAGAAAGAGGGAAAGAATAGATTCCACTACACCTGAAGACAGAACACCCTTGATTAGCATAGGATCAAAAGGGGAGTTAGCACCCTTGATTAGCATATTGCCACAGGATGCAGCCGTAACAGCAATAACAGCTTTTTGGCTAAAAACAGCAACAGCAACATCAGCTTCTAAGCTCCTACTGATATTTAACAGTACTCCGCAGAGGCAGACAATGCCTAAATAGATTACAGAAATCTCAATGGGGTTGTCCAGTGTCCATGCAAAGGGAGGCAGAGCTGCATTCAGGTGTTGCAGAGACGTCCACCGGGCCTTGCCACACAGGGGGAAGTTCCTTGCGGCCTTGCCTGCAATGGAACGATACTCTTCACACCTTCCTGTCTTCCACACCCATCACATGGACCCCAGCAAAACATAATTCATGGGAAAGCATAAAAGATTCAGAATATTCAATCTTTTCTTTTCCCAATAATTATCTCAAGTCAACTGAATCTTTAACAAAAAGAACAAAGGTTATTTCAAGACATACTAGAGTTCCACTGTAAACCTAACAGATTGGTACTGGCAAAAACAGACACAACAGAGATTCCAGAAATAAATCCATATGTTAACCACACTTGATTCTCAACAAAGGCACCAAAGCATACAGTAGAGAAAGGACAGTCTCTTTGGTCAATGGTGCTGGGAAAACTGGACATCAGACACAGAGGAGTGAAATTGGCTTTCCCACCCCAACCCGCCAACACTATGTATTAACCCAAAATGGATCAAACACCTAAATGTAAGATCTGGAACTAGGATACTCCAGAAGGAAACATGAAAACACTTCCAGGCACCCATCTAGGCAGCAACTTTTTGGATAAGCCCCCAAAAGCATAAGTTAGAAAAGCAAAACTAGACAAATGGATTTTATCAAACTAGGAAACTTCTCCACATCAAAAGAAACACTCAACAAAGAGACAAAATGAGAGAAAACATTTATAAACTCTCCATCTAAGAAAGGGCTAATGTCTGGAACATGCAAAAACTCAAGAACAGGAGAGGGGAAAAAAAGCAATCTACAAAAGAATGCGCATTCTTCAGAAAAAGAAACAAGTGGCCAATGTTGCCAACCATCAGGAAAACACGGCTCAACACTTCAATGAGGTAGGACCAACTCAGCTCAGTTAGAAGGGTTATTATCAAAACCAGCAATCAACGAGCTGGACTGGATGCTGTGGCACAGTGAATTAACTGGCTCTGCAAAGACCCTCCCTCCAACAGTCACAATATGAGAGTCTATGAATTAAGGCTCCAACACAGGAATTTGCAGGGACAACATTCTACCCATGATATATAGGAAGAAATACACTTAAGTTTTGCAGAGATCTCATTTAACTCTAACCAATCAATTCCAAGAAAGAAAACTGACGCCAAGGGAAATTAAGTAATGTGATGACGGGAATACCAGGAGGTAGAGTCAGAAATCAAATTCAGGAAATTCAAGATGGCTGATAGGGAAAAGACAGAGAGATAAGAGGAGAGGAACTACATTCCCGGCAAATAGAGAACTTTGCAGAAGAAATTCTACAGAATAGAGCCCCATAGAGTAGCAAACACCTGAGTCACACAACAGGGAGCAGGACACTGCCTGTGGTTCCGCCTGGCGAGCGTGAGAGCTGGTAACGGGGATGATTGGGCTGAAATGGCTTCACCTTCCCTTGGCACATGGGTGGGATAGGTGTGGCAGTGTTCTAGACTGGGCTGAGCTCCATCACCTGCTGGTGCTCACAAGAGCCAGAGTGGATATGGGATGGGCTGTGCTAGGTCATGGCATCCGCTTGTCCACATGAGAGCCGGGTTGAGGGTGGACCAGGCAGGACAGGGCTGTAGCACCCACTGGTGAGAACCTGAATGCTTGTGAGCCCGTCAGTCAAGGCTGCAATATCTGTTTGTGAACATCAGTTCTGAAGGTGGGCCAAATCAGGCTATACCAAAAACACCCTCTGGTGCACCCAAGATCCTCAACTGTAAGCTGATCAGATAAGGGAGCTTGGAGAACTCCCCTGTTAGGACTCAGCCCCAGCTGGTGAGCACGACACCTGAGGCTACAAGCAGTCCAAGCCAGGCCAACTACAGTATCTGTTGGCATATATATGGGTCATGTCTGGAGACTGGCCAGACTGGGCCAGTCAGCAACACCTGATGACATGTGACAGAGTCAGGACAGGTATAGGTAAGGCTGGGTTGGGCTACAGCACCCAACAGTTCACAACAGGGCCAGGAATGGGGAGGGGGCGTGTGTCCAGACTGGGATAGGCTATAGAACTCAGCAGCATGAGCTAAGATTGGGGGCAGGCCAAGCAGAGCCAGGCTATAGCACTCACCAGTGAATGCCAAGGCAAGACAGGTCATGCCAGACTGGTATGCAGCACCTACCAGCACACACAAGACCCTGGGCTGGGAGCAAGCCTGGTTTAGAAAAGGGGTAGGCCCCCAACCCTGCCGGACCACTGCTCCCACTTGGGAGCATGAGAGCTGGGTCTGGAGCAGACTAGGCTGGGCAGGGCTGCAACTGTCACCTTGCATGTGAACTGTATTTGAGGGAGGGTTAGGCCACTGCATCTGCTAGCACATGCAAGAGCCAGGTTAAGTGCTGGCTGGTCAGGCTTTGGCAAATGCCAAGACAGGGTGCGAGTCACATCAGACTGCCCCACAGTAATCCCTGGAAAGTGCAAAATCTGGGGTGGGAGTGAGCCTAGTTAGGGCAACTATGGGCACTCTTCTGCCGGGCTGCAGCTCCCACCAGTGGCATGAGAGCCAGTGCTAGGGACAGGCCAGGTCAGACAAGGCAGCAGCATCTGTTAGCAAACATGTGGACTGGGTCATGGGGTTGGGTGGGTTGAGCTAAGCCACAACACCCATGGGTACACACATATAGCAGATGGGATGCAAGATGGACCAAACCAGTCTGCTTCACACATTGGTACATGCAGAAACCAGGGCTGGAGGTAGGCCCAGTGAGGGTTATTGGAGTTGCCTAATACTTCAGTCACCCAAACTGCACCCAACTAAGCTGCAGTTTCCACTGGTGTGTGCCAGTAGCAGGTCTGTAATAGGCTGAGTTGGGTTGGGCCATAGCACCTGTTGCTTTGTGTTGGTTATGGAGCTAAAGATAGAACTGACTAGGCAACTGCATTTACCAGTATGTGCATAGGTTGATGTGGATGACTGAACCAGACTCTGTACTGGCTGGTACATGTAAGAGTCAGGTCTGGGGTTTCTTGGGGCATGCCCCAATTGGACCACTGGACTCAAAACTCCAGCCATAGAGAAAATCACAGTATTTGTGATCCGACCTTGGAATGTATGTATTTGGACTGGGCCTCCTCAATTGCTAATGCTTATGTAGAGGATTGCATGCCCAGATGCATATGGGGACATGATGACCAGCTCATTTAGGCCTGCAGAGGACATCAAGTGCCATGTCAGAAGTTGGAGAGCAGGACAAGTTGGACAAATTTCCTGGCTAACCTTTAGTGCAAGCATCTGGGTGAGCAGAGGTATTCGGGTGGACTCTGTCAGCCAATGAACACTGGAATGATTTTCTCAACCTTGGAGTAATGAACTAAACATCACCTTGGAACTATCAAAACATCTCAAGCAAAACCCTCAGAACATTTTTATCCACTTTGGGTTTCTAAAATGACATCAAGTGGACATCTGTCATCCGCCACCTTCCCTTCCCCCGTTCCCAGATTAGGAAGAAAAGGAGAATTAAATTGTTGTCCCACCCACCTTCTTCCATGCTTTGACCCTCCCCACCCTAATCAGTGGTCTTCATGAGCATGCATCCTTGTCAACTATGTAAACAATATCAAAAATAAAATCAAATTTTAAATGTGAATAAATAAACAAGCCTGTTACTGGCACAGAACACACATATAAGCTGACAGAACATATTAGAAACCCCAGAAACTAATCCACACAGCAACACTTAATCTTTGACAAAGAGTGGAAAAAGAAAATATAGTATATATACACTATGGAATAATACTCAGCCATAATTAAGTCCACTATTTTGTAATAAAATGGATGCACCTAAAACCATTGTGCTTAATGAAATAAGCCAGTCCCAAGAAGGCAAATACCGTATTTCTCTGATACATGATTGTTAACACAGAATACTAAGAAATGTAAGGGAACAAAACAGACATCTTACGATTTTTTTGTTTTTAGCCTTGTTTATAGTTTTTACATGTTGAATATTACAGCTAGTGGTGCATTAAGCCTTAATGATAGAGTGGACTGAAAATAAATTTTTCCAAAAATAAAACAAAGAAAGGAAGAAAAGAGGGGAGTTGTAGGAGAGAGGGCATTATGGTTATTTCTGAGAATTATACCTATGAAATACATGAAATCTGTTCTCTTTACGCTAACTTCTAAAAAGAAAAAGGAAGCAATGCAACGCAGAGACCTGCATCACCCTTTCCCTGCACTTTGACACAAAAGCTGCTCTCAAGCTACCGGGCCTTAACAATGAAAATGCCACCAACCCAGACCATCATAACCCCTTCCACTGGCTCACAGCAGAAGAACCACAGCCAGTCTTCAAGCCTAACAGTGATATGGCTGAAGTTGCCCACAGAACCCACTCTCATGCCCCACCAAACCTGTGGGCATGAAGTGAAAATGGAAGAACAAATGGAGCTTCATGGAAAGCACTGGGGAGCCACTTTATATAACTTTACACCATGTGATATAAAAACACTGGGCAATGCACACGACCATCACATACATCAAGAGCTCAAAGGCACCAACACTCTAAAAATATACTTGAAGCATTCCTAAAAAAAAAATGCCAAAGTCAGTTTATATCACACAGAAAAATAAATAAAATGCACACAAGGAAATGTGAATCTTATCAATTTTATTGAAGTCAACATTTTTATAAACAAACTGTGCAAAGCCATGTAAACAATGAGGAGTCATACATTCAGATGTATAAAATATTTCTGAATAGGGAAGCTATACTTTAAGCACCCAAAATGAAAATCAGCCAGTGAAAATCTGGCTAGACAGACAATTTACAAAAGCTGTGGGTGGAGGTTTGTTCTGTATGCAACTTACATGGGAGCACTGACTATTCTCTTTTTTAAAGACTTATTTATTTTTATTGGAAAGGCAGGAAAGCTCTTCCATCCCCTCGTTCACTCCCCAAATCTTCTGTGTCTCCCACGTGGGTGCAGGGTCCCAAGGCTTTGGGCCGTCCTCAACTGCTTTCCCAGGTCACAAGCAGGGAGCTGGATGGGAATTGGAGCAGCTGAGACACAAACCGGCATCCACATATGATACTGCCACATGCAAGATTTAGTCACGGAGTCATTATACTGGGCCCTGGTTGTTCTGTTTAATCCACCAGGCAGCAGGAGATAACAGAAAATAAGAGTGCTCTTCCTCTTCGGTGTTCTTTCAGACAAAATGCATGCAAATTGAGGTACCCCCCAAAAAGCATGACTTAATTAAGCTCTACGTTCCTCTAAAAATAATAATACTGAGAAATATGTGTGACAGGCAGTTAGCCACACTAATAAAAGCTAATATTCACAACCCTGGCTGAGGGGTATATTGAAAACATCAAGACAGGGCTAATACTGTGTTGGCATGAGTAAGGCCACCTCGTACAACAGCATCCCATATGGCCATGCATATGTCCTGGTTTCTCTACTTTCTTTTTTTCTAATTGAACTGAATTTATTTATTTATTTTTCCATAGTTGATCAGGGTGGAAGGGAACGAGAGTTAGGGGACACTGGGTGAGATCATTGTTTCTGGATTTTCTTTTTGTTCCTCCTGTATCTAGGGGGAACGGAGAGACAAGTGGAGCTTCTGCAACTTTAATACAGCATCCTGCTAATGGTCTGGGAAACATGGCAGACGACAGTCCAAGTATTTGGGCCCATGCCACTCACATGGGAGAGCCAGAAATAGCTGTTGGATCTTGACTTTGGCATGGCCTAACTCAAATCATTAGAGCCTTCTGGAAAGTAAAACAGCAGATGAAAAATCTCTCTTAATATTTTGAACAAAATACATCTTTTCAAAATTGTCAGGGCTCAGGCTACATCACAGACCAATTAAAGGATGGCATGTGAGTCTAGCAGTTCCCAAAGGTAAAACCAGTGGAGCAAAGGCTTGTCACCTGCAGTCACGTTTTCCCCAGGTTCTTGTCCATGTTGGAGCTATTGCATGCTAGAGGCTACGGATGCACATGTCACCTTGCCCTGGGTCAGCACGACAGAGCACTTCCCACATCATAGGCAGAAAATTCTTTGTACATAAGATAAAAAAGAAATTGTAGGGTCATATAACTAAGCCTATCTAAACAAGATAACCTTGAATGCTCCCATAAACCAGGACTTGCCAGCGAGCAAAAGCAAGTGCATCCCTAGTTTTTGCTGTCAACTTTGTGGTAACAAAGGAAAGCGGCCACTGCTTGATGATCATGCATGCATCTAGGCAAACTCAGAAAGCATAGCCATCTCATGGGAAACACAAAAATAAAAACCCAGAACCACCTTGATATCATGGCAGGTAAAGTATTTCCTATGGGATTACTTCTGAGTCTTTTTCTTCACAGAAAGCGTCTGGACCTAGGATTGAACATGCAGATCTCCACATATGACAAGCAAGGGGCTGAGAAATGAGAACCCCCTCCCTCAGCACAAGGCTGTTCAAAGCTGAACCAACATCCACTTCATCGCTCTCCTCGTGGCTGCACTGCACAGATCCCAAGGTCAGTGTCACACACCTTTGCTGCTCTCAGCTTCCAGCAGGTTTTAGCTCCATCAACCCAAAGGCTCTGGGATAAATCATTTCTGCTCAACTCTAAGTCAGTCATGACTTGCCAAGACTCAGGAAATAATGGAATTGAACACGCACTCACACACCATGGAACCCACAGCCCAGCTACTTGGTTGGTTTGACTCTAGCTCAAACCTACTACAGGAACCTTTCCCAGCTCTTCAGCTAATAGAAATGTGATTAGGGCAGATCTTACTGGAATTGCTAAAATGCACGTTTGGTGAAAGCAAGGATGTCACTGTTTTGCCCTCATGTATGCTGCGTTTTCCCAGGCCTCTGATGACTGGACACACTCAGGAACTGCTCACTCAGTAGCTGTTCAATGGCTGAGCCATGGACTCGGGAACCTGCTGCTGCGCAGAGATCACTGCTGTGATATTTTCAGACTGGGAACCCTCTCCTAGGTCCTTCAGGTCTAAGTACTGCCCCTTAGCATGGAGCTTTTCTTTCATAGAAAATGGAATCTTCCACCAGCCTTGTGTGCTAAGCTCATACAAAAGGAAGACACAAACACATACAGAAGTATTAACACCCAAAGGGCATGGGTCCAGCTTTGTGGTACAGTGGGCTAATTTGCTACCTGTGATGCAGTAATCCCAAATGATGACCAGTTCAAGCGCTAGCTGTTCCACTTCTGATCCAGCTCCCTGCTACTGTGAGGCAGAAGAGAGTTCAAGTACCTGGGTCCTTGAAACCCACAAGGGAGACCTGGAAGAAGTGCCAGGCTCCAGACTGCACTCTGCCTCAGGCTTAGTCCCAAGGTGCCGCTTGGGCAGTGAACTGACACCTGCAAAATCTCTCATTCTCTCTCTCCCATCTTTGTTACTCTGCCTTTAAAACAAATAAATAGATCTTATAAAAACATAGCGAAAGGGTAAGAACCATTCTTCTCTGTAATCAGGAAAAAAGGCATACAGAACTAGAGAAGATATAACTAGAGCAGTCATCATAGAAATGCTGGATAATAAAGAAAAATTATTCTTAACTCTAAAAAGTCAACAATGTAAAACTTCTTCATTAAATATGAAAATTTCTATCTAGAGAAAAATATAGCTCAAATGCCAACTGGTCAAATTTGGCACGGAGGAAGTTTGATTTTTTCTGTATCTCTTCCCTTTTGAAAAGCAAGGTCAGCAGCCTCACTGCATTCCCATTACATACAATTGGGGCCAAAGTCTTCCAACCACTAAGCTGACTACCCGCTGTCATGAGTGCCTCCTACCAGGTGTTTAATGGCCGTAACCATGCATATCATGCATTTGATAAGTTATCTAGACAACCTTTCCGCCCCAGATACTCTCTCTTCCCAACACACTGAGAAACAAATCCTTCCTGAAAACCCCTGTGTGATTGCTTGATGCCTCATTTCTCCTGCTAGGCCTCTCCAGCCAAAACAGCTGCCCTTTGGATTAAATTAGCAATTCATTCAATGTCACACCAGCCACTTTAAAGGCCTACACTCACCAAATGTGGTCAGTAGTTGTGCTGGGCAGTGCAGACTGAAAATGCTTTCATCACCTCAGAACAATGAATTGGACAGCCCCATGCTAGAGCAGAAGCCCATGAGGCTAGGCTCTCCCAGACCTCTTAGCCTGTACAAACAGCTCCCCCATAGAGAACGCCAGTCTGGGAGTCCTACACACACACACAGCTCAACAGTCAAGGTAGCAGATAGAGACAACTGAAGACAACTGTCAAAAACCTCTCCATGTACATGCAGGGCAGGTAGTGTGCTGTGTCTGCATGTGTATGTACACATCAGAAAGGAAGGCTCCTCAGGGACTGTCGACTACCAAAGATCCAGAGTCAGAAATAGAAAACTTAAAACCTCTAAAATGGCAAAGAATTCAACACTCCCCCAAACCGGACACTACTACCCCAAGTGCAGCCCATGAACCATGAATACGCACCGTATAATAGCCTACTAAAAATAGCAATTCTCAGGAGTGTGGTGTTACAGCACTGCCTGAAATGCCAGGCTCAGGTCAGAACAACAGCTTCCAGTCCTGCCTGTTCTGCTTCAGAATCAGCTTCCTGCTAAAGTACTTGGAGGTCAGCTGCCAAACAAGTGCAGCGACCTAACACCACAGCCTGAGAGACAGTCGAAACAGGGCAGCTTTGGCAGGTCAGAGGAAGAGCATGGACTAAAAACAGGAGCAGACTATTGGCGGGTACTCCACCAGCCCTCCTCAAAAACACTGGTGATGAACACAAACCAGTAGAGAGGCAGGCAGATAGAGCAAGTAGGAATGGTCATAAAAAGTGCCATACTGGCCATACGAGAGAACAAACTCAAATTTACAGAACACACACAGGAGAGAGCAACAGGAGCCTGTGCAAAAGCTTAATTGGCTAATCCTCCACCCTAAAAGTGCCTGCATCCTAAGTGGGTCTTGGTTCATGTCCCAGCTGCTCCACTTCCCATCCAGCTCCCTGCTTGTGGCCTGGGAAAACAGCAGACTATGACCCAAGGCCTTGAGACCCTGCACCCATGTGGGAAACCCAGATATTGCTGACTCTTGGTTTTGGATTAGATCAGCTCAGCAATTGCAACCATTTGGGAAGTGAACCAGTAGATGGAAGAACTTTCTCTCTGTATCTCCTTCTCTTTGCAACTATGCCTTTCCAACAAAAATAAATAACTTTTTAAAAGAAGAAAGAGCAACAACTAATGTCAGATACATATTAGATGTTATTCAGCCTAGGATGTGCAGAGATGTAAACAGAACTGGCATCAGCTCAACTCATTTATCAAAGGACAGTGCGTGCCAGTGGCACCAGTGCTCATAGCCAGCACCCTTGTTATCCCTGCCTCTCAGGCCACCAAGACTCTCAGGTCTTCAGTTCAGCTCCATTGATAGATCAAACTCAGGATGGAGGGTCCCAGGGTGAGTAACACAAGTACTCTGATTTCTGGGAAAGATGGCGTTCACCATGGGATTACCCACCACACACAAGTAGGTCACTGCTGCTCTCAAACATGAAAATAACAGGGCCCAGCAGTAGGCTAGTGGCTAAATTCCTGGCTTTGCATGTGCCAGGATCCCATATGGATGCTGGTTCACGTCCCAGTGGCTCTATTTCCCACCCAGCTTCCTGCTTTGTGTCCTGGAAAAGCAATCGAGGATGGCCCAAAGCCTTGGGACCCTGCACCCACAAGGGAACTTTGGAGGTAGCTCCTGGCTCCTGGTTTCAGATGGGCTCAGCTCCAACCATTGCGGCCACTTGGGGAGTCAATCAACAGATGGAAGATCCTCTCTGTCTCTCCTCTTCTCTGTATATCTGACTTTAACAATAAAACAAACAATTCTAAAAAAAAAAAAAAAGAAAATAACAGTGTGACTTGATAAGAAAGAACAGAGCAGACTGCGATCAGAATTTTGAGTTCACAGACTGCTGGTGCCGTAGACCAAGGTCAAACTCTATAGACAATGATCTGTTATGTGGGCAAAACCTCAAGACCCCAGTCAAGGCCTGCAGACGAAGGTTTGCAGTTACAGAATGGTCAAGGCCACAGGACTGCATGCTTTAGGATATCCCTGAGACACTCACATACTGACTTCTCCACATCGCTCACACTGCTGTTTCCTGATCATCACCAAGCACTGGCTGGCCACTATCAATAAGACGTGGCTACCAATGTTTGTGCCACATCAATCCCTATAATTTGATGCCCTGAGCAGTTCAATAAAAGACTAAAGAAGTACCTTCTGGGTCAACTTCAATCCACAGAGAAGGGGCTTCCCTCTGGCTGCCTACATTCACAGCCTTTATCTTGTGTCTGCCTCTTTTCTTGTTTTTCTCAATTGCATGTAACTGCAACCTCCCCCCAACCCTGTTCATTTAATGCTAGCCAGGGTAGCTACCTCCTGCAAGAGCAAAGCTGCCAGCAGCCTCTGTCACTGAGCTAAGAGGGACTTCCAAACACCGCCCTCAGCTCTAGTCCTCATGGGATAGCTCTGAACCACAGGCTACACTCACATTACGGTCCTCAAATCCCATATGGACTAGAAACTCAACATAGAAAAAGCACTTGTGAAATCTCTCCAAAAATAGTGTAATCCCCATCAATAAATACTGTATTTCACAGAAATCAAAGACACTGATTGTATAACCCAACATGTGCCAGGCAGGTGCAACAAAAGGGATTGTGAAATAAACATTGCCACAATGTTAAATTATCACTGATGGTAAAATATATCTTCATTTCAGAGACAGAGAGTGGTAAGGAAAAAGTATATTGAAAAAAAAAAATCAATGAATCCAGTACTGAAAAAAGTACTCTTCATAATAATCAAATACTGCCATAATATTACTGTACCAACTTGACAGGTACAATCAGTAGTACTTTCTTAAAGCTATCACTTTGTTTCACTTCTCATTTGAAATGAATAGACTGGTACTTATAGAGGGGATCTTCAAAGAGTTCATGGAGTGCTATGATGCATGAGTTTCAGATATTACACATAAAAATAAATTATTCTTATAAATTTGATTCTACATACACATCAAAACTGTTGATGTAGCCTCAGCTTAATTACTAAGAGACACCTTACATAAAGAGTAAAATGCATGGATTCTCCAGTCAAAAATCATCTCCTTTTCATTCCTAGAAATCACACAGCAAGGGAATAATTACAAACACAGAGGAAAAGTCAGGCCTTGCAGCCAGGTCTCAGGCCCTACACTGGGTTCTCTTCATAGATGCTCAAACATGATCATTAGCATTCTTCTAGTCACCCCAGGCAAGACAAAGTCATCCATTCACCAAAGCTGCCCATTTCCTCTTCCCTGGCACTACGCTCATTTGTTCAGCAAATCAACTCAACCTCTACAGGACTTTGTCCTATTAGAACAGCACCCATATTCTCAAAAATAAATGCCTTCTTTGCATGTTCTGAGGAAGAAAGACATTAAAACACTATCTGGCCAGCCCCATGCCAAACA